TAATCCCAGAAAGCCAGCCTTTAATCCCAGGGAGTGGTGGTAGAAAACAGAAAGATATATAAGGCGTGAGGACCAGAAACTAGAGGCTTTTGGCTGGTTAAGCATTTGGCTGGTTAAGCATTCAGGCTTTTGAGCAGTAATTCAGCTGAGACCCATTCTGGATGAGGACTCAGAGGCCTCCAGTCTGATGAAACAGGACCAGCTGAGGAACTGGCAAGGTGAGATAGCCGTGGCTTGTTCTGTCTCTCTGATCTACCAGCATTGACCCCAGTAACTGGCCTCAGGTTTGATTTTATTAATAAGAACTTTTAAGATCCTACTACAGAAGAGGACAGGAATGGTGCTGATAAAGTACTCATTTATGAAGTTCTTTCCCCAAAACATAATTTAAAAACAAGTCTGAATATTTTTCTTTAAAAAATTTACAAAAGATTAGTGTGTTGTCATTGTTTTGAGTATATTACAAAGCAAAATTTAATGTTTTATCTCCCTTCTTATCAGTCCTTGGTCTAGAGCTTTAAAATATTCTCATTTATATATTTATTCTAAAAATTACCACTTGGTTATCTAGGAAATATTGTGTACTTTGGATGCACTAAAGGAAAGAAGAAATCAAATACGTGATCTATGGAACAATTTAAGACATCTTCTAAGCATTTTTGGGCCTATAAAATTCTAAACTTATTTTCTCAAAAAAAAGATTAAATGCACTTTGTTAAAAAATGAAGCATGTTTTCAATTTCCTTAATTTACACTGGCTTAATAACTATTTATTATACTAAAAAATCTAATGTCTTTACAGCAAATAGTAAACATTCTTTAACAGAAAAAGAAGCAATTTGAAAAGAAGTAGCTTTTGAACAGTCATGTTGGTGAGACTTTATGGGTACATCTTATGATGTTGCTAGGAGACACAATCTCACAGCAAAGTCCTTGATCCTCCATATCTTAAGTATTTCCACCCCTTATCTGTAATGTTCCCTGAGTCTTAGGTTTGGGAGTGTTTTATAGAAGTATCCTTTGGGACCAGGCTCCACAACTCTGCATTTTGATTGGTTGTGGTTTTCTGTAACAGCCTCTGTCTATTGCAAAGTGACATTTCCTTGATGATTGGTGAAAACCACACTTATCTATGGGTTTAAGGACAAATGTTTACAGATTGTTGCTAGGGATTAGGCCAGTTTAGTAAATTAGTGGTTGTAGATTCTCCTCCAATAGCCATGATTTTACTAGCACTGAGTAGTTGGCTGGGTTCCAGTCCCAGGCATGGTGTCCTTCTTGTTCAGTGAATCTTAAGTACAATTAGTGAGCTGCTGTTGGTTACCACAGGACACCAATAAACATGCCAAACTGGATGGGTTTGGAGGAGCCGATGAGGTCCTCAATCCTTAACAGAGAACTATAGCAACTAAGGAAATCTGAGAGCGAGAGTGATAGCAGTGGTCCTCCCCAGGGAAAAGCATACCAATTGGTTGTCCCGTACAAAACCATCAGTCCTGAAAGCATACATACAAGTAACATTATATGGACTCAACATACTATCATAAAGATATATATGTACATACACTCTATAGATTCATGCAACAATAATTAACATAAAAAGAGGCCATGGATTGGAAGGAGAGCAGGGAAGGGTATATGGGAGGGCTTGAAGAGAAAAAAAGAAATGTTATAATTAAATTACAATTTCAAAAATAAACCAAAAAGAAAATAGAAAAGTAGCAGCTATGACTGCTTTTACTGTTAATTTAGTGTGTCACATTGTTTCTGAAAAGAAATAGATATGATCTTTCCAAAAAGAATCTTCCCGCATTGTGCTGAGTATCCAGTTTTGTTTCCAAGATATCATTTTATGTTATTTGTACAAATAATTTAATTGCTGATAACTTTAAAAATCTAGAAAAATTCTAGCTGAAATAAAAAAAGATTTTCTTTTTTCCATTTTTGTTTTTTGGAGGAATATGCTTTTAGTGCTCTGAAGATATGGCTTAGAGGTTAAGAGTACTGGATAATCTTCCAGAGAACCTAGGTTCAATACCCAGCACCCATATGGCAACTCATAACTGCCCACAGCTTCAGTTTCTAGGGATCCATCACACTCTTCTGTTCTCAGGTATGCACGTGGTGTACAGACATACATGCAGGTAAACAGCTATACTATGTGTGTGTATCTAATAATTGAAAACAACAAAATTATATTAGCAATTGCATTAGAAGTAACTTTATTGGGAAAATAATCCTATTATTGACTGGTTCTCACTTCTGTGAGGACTCTCTTGCTGTATATTCAATACACATGAAATATACAGTTTTCTTCAAGACTACCTTTGTTCACCATCCTTTTTATCACCTGTTTTGTTATGTAAGTAATAGCTCTCTTTCTAGGGCAGTTTTCAGAAGGCTGACATAGAAGATTAATGCATTAAGTAAGAGTATGGTGGTACTGCTCACTCCTCACCTCAGGCAATGATGGCAGAGTTTGATATGGTGTGTCAATCAGGTGTGACATGATTTGTAGAATAATTTTTGGGATGAATGAATTCCTCAGGCTGCCATACAGATGTCATTGGGAACCCACAGGATAATTATAGGGTATGTATACCTAACTACACACACACACACAAAAAAAAAAAAAACAAGCCTACTTCTCCATAAACCAAAGAGTATTTGGAATGTTTTAGCCATGTTGCTTCATATACTGTGTGGTGTAAATCTAAAACTATTTCATAGTTTGATAACATTTACTTATTTTTAATAAATTACTCTGCAACAATGAGCTTAACAAAAGGAAGTAGACATTCATATTCTCAAAAAGTTTTATGAATATCATATAATAAAGTATTTATTGACAGATATTGTCTGGTGTGAAAGCACAGTATTACAACTTCAGTAAAGAAAAGATGGAAAAACACCAAAAAAGTAGCAATGTGTTTTCAAGGGCATAAGGATAACCATAGCAGAAGTTCGAAACTGTATAAAATATCTTTACATAGCTTTCTAAAGTATGATTTTCACTCACTTCTAAATAAAATTTATGAATTTTAAATTCCAAATTGAATTCTTTGGACATATAAAAAATTAAACAAGTGCTCTTAATTTTTTAACAACTTCATAGCAGAAGAAAAACTCTTAGATAAATCAGAACTTTTTTCTTTAAAAAACAAAGTTATTGAGTATCGATTCTATTAGTAATTAGCCATTTTTCTAATGTATGAGCATATGGAAACTTATCCTATTGAAGGAAAATTATCTGACATTATTGTAACTGATGAAATGTATTGCATTAGAAGGCTTAACAAAATAAATTTTTTCAATGATAATACTAACATTAATTGTGTCAGAGTAATGCATTGTGGTACAAGAACAATATACTTTTACTATAAATAAATAAAAATATACATGGAATTGATTGAAGAGCATACATAAATCACTGCTGTATACAAGCGAGATGAAATGTTTTATCAAAATAGAGGTTGCATTTATAAAAATTATAGCATTTGCATGTATTTTCAGAATGTACCTTGGAAATTTGTAGCAAAGAAATTCTTGAGTACAAAATGAAAAATATTTAGAATAACAAAAATTACTTTCACTAAATTTTGCTTTTAATTAATCAGACTTTTAAATCACTGAAGAACTATTTTGAAAACCAATGAAACTATACTATATTTCAGATGGCATATATTATTAGTAAATTCTTTATGTGTCTACCACTTTTTCAAAATTTATTAGCAATATTTAATCTACTTATTCAATAAATGAAATTTTAAAATAGTATTTAAACTTTCATTAATTGCATTTATTGAAAACCAAGCTTCTAGTGTCAAAGATATCAAAGTTTATTCCTCAAAAAAATGGAGGAGAATTTGTATAGATTAAATAGTGACAACTCGAAAGTGTAAGAAATTTAATAATTTGTTCTAAAATATCTTGGCATGAAATCATTTAAATATCATTCCTATATTCAGGTCGGTAAACTATGTTTTTATAGTCTTGCAGCAACAAAATTTTGCAAAGATAAAAAGGGGTATAAGCAGACAATTTAATTGTTTTCTTAGAAAACACTTGTCTAAAAATTAAACACCAAATATTTGAGGAACTATCTGTAGATAAGTAGCTTCTATTTTGCATTTTACAAATTGCAAATAAAAGCTGGCCAGATAGTTCAGTGAGTAAAGACCCTGGCTGGATGGTTTAATCCCAGCACTCGGGAGGCAGAGCCAGGTGGATCTTTGTCAGTTAAGAGGCCAGCCTGGTCTACAGAGCGAGATCCAGGACAGGCACCAAAACTACACAGAGAAACCCTGTCTCAAAATAAGAATTTACTGTGAAGCTCTGTGCCTTTGTTCCAGATGCCTGTTCTAACTTAGAAGTTCATAGAGCTGGAGAAAATTTGATTTGATTCATTTTGGGGTGTGGTGTTTTATTTATTTGCAAGTTTTTTATAATAAATATTGCAAAATTAAAAAATAAAGGTAAAAGATACAAAGATAATTGTTTGACATTGTCTTCATGTAAAATATTACTTTGAACAAAACTTTGTTTATAAATATATTTTCTATAAAGAAAGAATGTGTGAGTTCACCAGCACATTACAAACAAGTACATACATTTGTATAAGCAGTGTTTAAATGTTTTATGAATTTACCTTTTGGGGGAACATTTCTGGTTCTCCAACCTATCCTGCTTCTGTGTTGAATTGCATCAATTCCATCATCACTACTATTGGCTCGAGGACTTTCTGCTACTCCTTTCTGTTCACAAGAAAATCCCTTAAGGTATGTTCTGAAAAATCAAACTAACATAGGTATTCTATAATGGAGACTTAGGAAACTTTAGAGCAGAGATAGCTATATTAAACAGCATGCTAGCTGAACTCCACAATTTTACAAGTCAAAAACCACGTGTTTCCGCCAAATTCTTTCTTCCTAAGGATTTTCTCATGTGTTGTCCTGATTTAAAAAAAGAAAAAGAAAAGAAAACATAACTGAGTATATATTTTTCTGGATTTAGGTTTTTTTCTTTTTGGTTTGAATCATTTTGAATTTTTTCCATACTTTTAAAATTAAATGAAAATAACAATTTAGGGTCTTGACATTCAATTTGCGGTTTCAATGCTGACATTAGGAAATGAGCTGATCTTATTTATCCCAAGACTACTATTATGATGTAATTTCCTTTCTACAAAACAAAGAAATCACCAACTCAAGATTTATTGATTTATGGAGGATGAAGTCATATCCATGTTTCAAGAGGTAAAATAACCACCAAGTAAAACAAATGAGTTTTCTTGAATTTGTTAAAGTTCTCAACATCTGTGTCTGAAGATTCAAAAATCAATATGTTCCTATTTTATGTCATAAAATTTATTTGAGACATTTCTGAATTTCTCCCAGAAAAAAAGAGAAAGAAAAATATTGCATGCTTTCAGTATTTGTTGATGAGAACAGATATTGTGTGGGTCCCCCTTCATGAATCATTTGACAATCCCCATATGTTCTAAAGACAGTAACACGCCACTTTCCACTTACAGATTAAAACTCGCCTCAGAATGTGTGTGCCACTAACCTTATCATTATTACTTTTTGAAAACTGTAAGTTTTTTCCTGCTGCCATTAATGGTTTCACTGGATGCAAAAAACTGTGTGTGTGTGTGTGTGTGTGTGTGTGTGTGTGTGTGTGTGTTAAATGCTTTCCATCACTATTCAGATTCTCTATATTTTAACT